CCCCCTGTTTTTCTGCAGGGAGCACCCCGCTGGGCTGCTACAAGAAGCTGATCGAGTACTACCGCAACGGGGACCTCTCCTTCCGATACGTGAAAACTTTCAACATGGACGAGTACGTGGGTGAGTCGTTGGGCTGCCCGAAAAGCTCTGAGAGACCAAGGCAGGATCCCCACATCGCACCGTTTGGTTTTCAGGGACAAAATGGATTTAGAGACCCTCTCAAAAAAAAAAAAAAAAAAAAGATGGAGTAGAAGTTACGTTAGGGACAGGAGTCAGCAGGAGGATGTTGAAAATCTATAAGAAATACTAAAGGGCACCGCTATTGCCTTACGCGTTGGAGAGTTGTGCATCTTATCTCGGCGTGGGTATTGATGAGCTCCAGGGTGCTGCTTACAGCCGGGAGCTGCAGTAACGCGCTGTATTAACTAGCACCTTTGCTCCATGGCTGTAAAGGTCACTTCAGACTCAGGTCTCTCAAAATGAGCCGTGCTCAGCAGCCAAGCAATGCCTGTGGGATTTGCAGTTTAGTTTAGGGCAGCATTTCTTCCTGAGTCTGGGGTGTGTCTGGTCAGTGACATGGATGGAGCAGTGCAGCTCGTAATTAGAAAGGCTGGGAAAGGCAGCACTGAGTCGTCCAGCTCTCAAGGTGAAAAACAGAAAAGCCAACAAATTGCTAATGCTGAGTTTGTGCTGGCTTTTAAAGGGGGGGTGAACCAAGAAGTTTTTCTGTGAACAGTCCTGAACAAGCTGTGTTAGGTAGTGTGTATATATAACACGTAGAAAGATTTCCAAAGGTGGAAAAATACGCAATAAGTTCACTCCCAGGCTTCTGTGCACATTTTAAACTGTTTTGAGTAATACCTGCTCTTCTAAAATATCCTTTGGGTGCTCATACAAGCATATGCTTTATGAAAACTGTTGTGATTGGCTTAATTTTGTTGTTGAGAAAAAAAAAAACTCGAGAAAGTTAAGGTTGTTGCATTTGACAGAAGTCAGTACTCTGCAACTAAAACTACTGTAAGGGAGTGCAAGGCATATGGTTTTATATGATGGGTGATAATTTTTCACTTGTTCTTACCCCTGTGCATGCTCTTTACCAGGTCTCCCAAGGGATCACCCAGAAAGTTATCATTCCTTCATGTGGCATAACTTCTTCAAACATATTGACATCTCACCCGAAAATACTCATATTTTGGATGGAAACGCAGCTGACTTACAGGCTGAATGTGATGCATTTGAGGATAAAATCAAAGCAGCTGGTGGAATTGAACTCTTTGTTGGAGGTGAAAACCTGAAGGACTGGCAGGTTCTAAACAGTTGCAGGAAGCATTGCCTTTCGTCTACCAGCTCTGTGGTTTAATTTTCTGGAGAGTTGATTTTAAGTGCAGTTCAGTGGATTTGCAGTGAAAGCCACCCCTGCACCATCTGCCTGTGATGCTCATGAGTGCTGGCAGCTTTGCCCTCCAGTATTCCACTCCCCCAGTTTAAGTGTTTCAATCCAGTAAGTGAATTACTTCGAAAATGATAAGCAGGAGAAATGGGCATGGCCAAAACTGTACCAAACACAAAATGTATTACAAAAGCCTGTGCTGGCAGGGAACTCCTGGAAGTTGTAGTAGTGCTGAGCCCTCAGGAGCCCAACACAATATTTTCCAATGAGCCTGCCTTTAGATTCCCCCCGTCTGGAGGGGACTATTGCTAACACTTCTAGCAGGAGTGGCAAATTAGAGCTTGAACCAAAAAAAAAAAAAGAGCTTTAAAAAGCTTTGCAGGTGTATTTCTCATTTCTGTGTCTATTCCTGGAAGTCTCGAATGTCCTTTAATGAGAGTGACATTGGTTCTGCTTTCTACAACAGCTGGTTAAGCCAGTGCTCTAGTTCTTACACTGTGTCTGTCGCAGGTATTGGCCCTGATGGCCACATCGCCTTCAATGAGCCTGGATCGAGTTTGGTGTCAAGAACGAGAGTGAAGACCTTGGCTATGGACACGATACTGGCTAATGCCAGGTTCTTCGATGGCGACCTCTCCAAAGTCCCCACCATGGCTTTGACCGTCGGAGTAGGCACAGTCATGGATGCAAGAGAGGTTAGGAGAACAATAGGAGTTGAGAAGGGCTTCCTACTTGGAATACTTGGAGTATCCGAAGTTTGTCTGGACTTGGAGCAGTTATGCTCCCTGCTGGTATAGGCCAGTGTATGCTTTTCCTGTCACAGACAACTAAATGATCCTCCTGTTGTCTTGCATCCTGCAGTACTGCAGAAGGGCTCTTCCTTTCTCTATTATTTTTTTTCTATTTTTACTATATTAACTTATGTTTGGGTACTGTTATAACTTGGAGAGCTGGGAAGGTTTTGGAGGATGTCCTTAGTTAAGAAGTTCACCTGATTAAATGATTGAAAGAATCACTGGCTGCCTTGATACTATCCCAGTGGTTTGTGAAAACTCTGGGATGGTCTTAATTAAGCCTATGCCTTGATTCGTACTTGCTCAGAGTATCTGGACCATTGGAATGGCCCTCCAGGCTGCGATTCAGTTAACTAAATGCTGTCACAGTTAACAGCAACTCTTACAGTGAAACGCTGCTGCTGACAGGCGCTGTCCCCAGTGGGGACGGGAGCAGCTCTCCTGGCTCTGAGGTGGTTGGAGGAGCTTTCTCCAAACGCATCTTGCAGACCTTGACTGCCCTTTCTCTGTGTCCCTGTGCCCAGGTGATGATTCTTATCACAGGAGCACATAAGGCCTTTGCATTGTACAAAGCCATTGAGGAAGGTGTCAACCACATGTGGACAGTCTCCGCTTTCCAGCAGCACCCCAACACTGTGTTTGTGTGCGATGAGGATGCAACGCTGGAACTCAAAGTTAAGACAGTGAAATACTTCAAAGGTGAGTGTTTCACCAGGTCACGTAGATGCTGTGTTTAGTTCTCAAGTGGCATGTGCCATTCTGTGCTAAATGTTTGTTTAATCAACTCCATAAAGAGTAGGTTTCTTAATGAAGGTACTGTGATGATAAGAGAGCAAGTGTAATGCTTACAACTGTATGCAGGGGAGCAAAGGAATGATTCCCATCGCATATAACTCCATTAGCATGCCCTGAGTGAGGATTTTGCTTCATTATGTCTGCTTCTTTTTACTTGCTACATTAGGTTTAATGATGGTTCACAACAAGCTTGTGGAACCCTTGTACAGCATGAAGGAAACAGGAGCAGAAAGAAGCCAATCCAAGAAGCCTTACAGCGATTAATCTTGTGCTGTTCATTATGCTAAGCCACCTCTTCTGTGGAAAACCAGCTGTGAAGAAAGGTGTTTGCTGCATAAACTCATCTTACCTGTTCTTTAATTGGGAAAGTGATGATATTCTTGCTTCTTTCCATTAAAAAGAGATGCCAAACATCTACCTTAATTAACCAGCTGTAGAGGGGATCCAACATACTGTGTTGCACAGACCTTCACTAACTTACTCTCTAACGGTAAAGTCAGTGGAGAATTATTTAATCTGTATGCTCCAGATTATGAATGCTCCAAAACTTAAACGTGAAGATGACGTTGGAGAAATCAAACACATAATAATTTAGGAATGTGTTCTTTGCACTTGGATAAGTGCGTGTTGTCATTCTCTGCGCCACAAACCACTCCTACTTCACACTCCCTTAACGAGAGAACTGGACTTGTTCAGCCTACAGAAGGAAAGGATCTGTGGGGACCCAGGAGCCACCATTGGAGATTTTGAAGACACAGCTGGATAAAACCTGATCCAGCCTCACTGCAGAACCCTGCTCAACCTCTTTTTTTATGTATTTTTACTGATCGAGTGTTTAAAAGGTGCCGTGGGAGGGCAAACTTGTTCATACTGAGCATAAATGATTTCCACCTCTGCTGTGCAGTGTGCTGTCGTGGGTCACAGCAGAGCCCGAAGCTCTATCTCCCCTTACAGGGCTCCAGTTACTAAATAGGCATCCAAGGAGTCCACATAAGCCCCATAAAGGTGGGCAAAAGGCTGCATGGCCAAGACCCCTTCACTGCTGGAAGTGCCTCTTGTTCTGCTGCAGCGAGGGCGGCCAGAAAGCCCGCAAGAGTGAGCAGATAAACAGGGCGGATGTAATGGGTTCATACTGAAATTCTGTGAACTGCAGCTTTTAATGTAGCTTTCTCCAATAAACACCTAACTTTATTTTCTAACTAGTTGCAGTGACTGGATCCCCCCTCACTCTGAACATACTGGTGAAACTTGGAACAGTTGGTGGCTGAATGACATGGGAGATTTCAAAATATTTTACTATAGAACTTGTAGGTCTGGCTGAGATCCTGGGCAACAACTTTTCATCCCATGCTGCCCTCCAGCCTGCAGGCCCTTTCTTCAGCCCCCTGCCAGCCTCGAGGCAGTACAGGTGCAAACAGCACATACTGCTCCTCCTAACAAACCTTCCCTTTCTGCTCATGAGCACAAGTGCCACCACCCAGAAACAGCACAGAGCTCCATGCCACACAATGGCCCCCTGCTTTTTTGATATTGTAACGAAGACAAACAGCGAGACAATCACGTTTACTGTCTTAAAGTGAGTTTAGTGCATGTGAAAGGTGCAGGAGATACAGATTGAACCACACAGGGTGTAAACTTTCCCTCTGTGGTGTCCTTCAACCTACACTGAGTCAAAGGACCACTTCTGTGTACCAGAGAGAAGCTGCTGCCCCGAGCCCCTCTTAAGCATCTTTTATCTTTTTATCTCTGCCCATTCTGATCGTAGAAACTTCTGTCCTCTGGGAAAGCAGCTAAGTCAACAGTCATTTTGGCCAGATATCTGAATAGAGATTTATTTACTATCAAAATCGGGCAAGAGGTGTTCACCTTGAGATTCTGAAGAGGTTTCAAGGTCCTGAGCAATCCAAACCCTCCTCTTCCTTGTTCTGAACACAGCACATGCAGTCTTAATTTTAAAATAAAATTTAGACCATTCTGCAAGTGGAAAATTATTTTAAAAAGAAGGGGTTCCCTCCAACTATTTTCATGCTCACACAACACTTAACTGAGCTTCTAGTGGAAAAAAATTGAGTTTTTTTTAAACACATTCTGAAGGGCAAGAACAGTGAAAATAATGTAACTAATCAAGAAGCAGATCTACCACTCAAATTCTTTAGATGAAGACTTGGCAAAAAAAAAAAAAAAAGTTACTACAAAAGGTGAAAATCACCCTTTCTTGCATCTTGGATGGTGAGGGAATCAAGTTAATTGTGACTGCGTATTCATAAAAATGTGTTTCAGTAAAAGATCCAGGCACTAGAGCCAGCAAAAAAGGGGATTAGGGATAACCAGCTTCACCATCATTGTTGGAAGTACCCGTGCCAGAGTACAGGGCTGTTTCAGGGAACAGGTGAGGAAATGCTAGAGAAGCAACAGGTTCAAATACTGAATGCAGCAGAACCTGTGTTGTTTCAGTAACCTTTCCTTTTTTTGAAAGGGTGTCACAGCTGCCTCCCAAAGCATAAGGGTAGAAGTCCTTGAAAGGCCAGTTTCCCTGATGGGAACCCCAGAATATATTTATGATTTCATAGGTTATTTTAATTCATTTTTTTTTTAGAGGGGCACTTCTGGGTAGACTTTTGGTAGACTTTTTTTTTTTTTTTTTTCCCCTAGTCCTTTTTTAAACGTCTGGCGGGTTGCTTTTAGCACTAGACCTGCTTACCAGGGCTTTAAATCACCACTGGATGGGCAAAATGGTCTCCTTTGATTCTGAGGAGCTGTGAGAGTATCCTGCAGTGCATAGTATTATTCTATTATATTAACAGAACTGAAAAAAAAAAAGACACAAAAGTCTGTGACTGGTTTCTTCAGCTTTTCTTGATAGAGCAGAGTTACTAGTCTTCATCTTCCCCATCCCAGAACTCACCATCAACGTGCATAGCTTGAAACAATCTGCAAGACAGATGAAAATTTATCAAGATCCAGGAAAAGCGAATGTTTTTGAGGAAGACAGGAGTGTCAGGTCCCGGTGTTTGTGTCCATGTCATGAGAGCCGGGATGCTGCTGTTTCCGAGCGCTTTGCTCTGCCTTCCCTCCCCTTCGCCCGGTGGCAGCCGCGTCCTCAGCCTCCCCGCGGGCACCATCGCTGCGAGCGTTTGGGGCACAGCTCTCCAGAGCTGCCTCCTGCCCCTGTCCTCGGGTACCTGATCATTCATCTCAGCACCATCCCCAAAACCTTTCACTACGGACTGTTGCCCAGACAGAGCGGCAATTAAAGCATTGGAAAGCAGCCCTGAAGACTTCTCCAGAAAACTAAAACAAAAGTCCTCACAGGGCAAAAATACATCCCAAATCACTTCCGAATCCTTTTTCCAGCTCCTTAAGAGTGTAAATATTTTCAAGAGAAGAAACCTTATCTTAAACTGTATAGCCACATATTTCAAGCTACAAAAAAAAAAAAAAAAGGGAAAGACTGTGGAAAAAAAAAAAGATACACCTAAGCAGTATTGCACTGTAGAAAATGTGTGTAAATACATACCGATTAAAGCATGGGGAAGACGGATCATTGAAGTGTCTATAGGGGTTCACCCTTGACAGAGAACCCATACAAAGCCAACAGAAATACTGCATGCAGCCAGTGCACGTCATTTTGTTACAGCCATCTAGTTTCTGGCAGGAAAGGAAACAAGAAATAGCAGTAAGAATAAAACCATGTCAATCGTCAGGCTTATCTGTGTAGGATCCCAGCCCTTAATATATATTAATTAGTTGATACATCTTATCAGTGATATTTTTTCCCTTGTTACTGAACTCTAAGCCAGAATCATAGAATTGAAATATGGCTGTATTACTAAAAATACTGAACATCATTATTTTTCTGAAGCTATTTTTAATTGCTAGATATAGCAGAAACTGAGATTTAAAAAAATAAGAGTAGTCACATATGAATATTGTATTTAACTTGATTAAAACTGCAGCAGACAAATACATGGAAAACAAAAGGGATTCATATGGATCCAATGCCAATCTGGATCTTTTTTGTACTGTAGTCAGTCGTACAGTATCAGCTGTTTTATTTACTCAAGGCCCTGACCTTCAGAAATATCCTATATAAAACAGACAAAAATGCAAAATTCTCTTGTCCGTTGCTAGAAATTTATCTTCCCCAGCTATCTTGAGCTCTACAAATAAACCTCTGTTCTGGCCTAATTATAGAACCGGCTTAACAATTTATGTTACTTTCTGTCAAGAGTTACTGTGGTTTCCCTGCGATGCTCACCTCTATATGAGTACCACAGCAAGGACAAGACTTCGAGTTCTTCTCTAGCCATTCTTTACTTTCCACTTCCTCCACAGCCTTCTGAATCACTCGTTTGCCATAACGCTGTTCCAAAAATCTTTTAGTTGTTTCATCTGCTTCTAGATATTCATCACGTAAAGCCATTAATTTCTCTGGGGAGTAAAACAAAGAAACGGATTCTGTGATACACTGTATAAAGAAATCCATTTAATAACAGCATAAAGTGCTCTCAAAAGGAAACTATCATTATTCACTAAAAAGAAAAAAAAACATGTAAAAAAGATGAGAATTAGTATTAACCCACTTGTAAGTGGTTTTTCACTCTTTCATTATAACAGTATGAGAACAGTCAGTGACATCAGAAAAGTCTACAATGTGAAATTAACTGGGAAAAAAAAAAATCCAAACACATTTAATGACATTGTCACACAATATTGAGATCACACATGTAGCAAAGCACCTGCTTGATCCAGCATCAACCCTGACAGTAGCCAAAATGGGATTTATAGGAAAAGGCACAAAAGAGCCTGTATTATGTTATTCTTGCCCCGCTATGGCCTCTCAGAATTCGGCAATTTCAGAGCCTCCTGAGCTATGGAGCAGCATCCAAGCCACTCTTGTTAACTGCCAGCAACAAGCCCATGCCCAGCGAGCGGGTCGCATCCTTTCCGAAGCTGCGGGGGCAGCGAGCTGCACTGCTTCACTTCCAACTTCGTCGGCAAATTGCGCCTTGGTCCATGCCTGGACAGGGACTCACCCGCGGTGACCTTGCACGGGGACACGCCGTGGTAGGTCATCTTGCAGACCGTGCAGAAGGCGTAGTTGCAGCGGGAGCAGATGCCCATGGTGCAGCCCGGCTCCTGCATGACGGGCGTCTCGCAGCCCGCGCGCGGGCAGTTCACCACGTCAGCCATCAGGTCCAGGCTGGACTGCAGCAGCAGCCGGTCGTAACGCGCAAACAGCTGCTCTCCCACCAGCTCCTTCACCTACATGGGAGCAGAGCAGGATTACAAGGAACCTAAAGCGTCACTCTGCTGGCTAAACCAAAAATCAGTCACTCGGTGAAAGAGTAACCTGCAGCTGGGATGAATCAATTGCACATTCTCTAAAAGATCAAGGAATTACTCCTAGAAATTCTATCTTAATTATTGTGTAATCATGTTAAAATACTGTAATGAGATTTACTAGCAACACAAATCACAGGCACTGCAGACTTCAAATGACAAAACAAGCAGCGTCAAGTGCAATGGGACATTAATTCAGCCCCAATCAATGCCAGTCCTACTGCGGCACGCAAAATGGGTGCCATGTGATCCCATTCTAACTCAGGTGCCGCTGTGAGGCTCAGAGCACAAGACAGTCCTGCCCGGTACATTCCCAATTCCCACCAGCAAGAGCCCCAGGTGGTGTCCTGGAATGGGGAGGCCCGTGGGCCGCGGCAGCCCTGCTTGCACGCGGGCATTACCTGGCCAGGAGTGGCAACAGAGGAACACTTTGGCTCGGGGCAGTTGAGGCAGTGGACCTGCCCATCCCTGATCTGTATCTCGAAGTAGTCCTTCAAGCAGGCCTTGCAGTACACGTGGCTGCACTCCGTGAAGTGCATACAGTCACTGCCCAGCTTCTCGCAGAAGCAGATATTGCACAAGTACATCTTGCTGTTAAAGCACTTCCTCCTCTGAGCCTGATCGAAGTCCAGGATTTCCCTGATCAGGCTGGACAAGGATTCCACGTCCTGCACAGCTCTCTCATCGATGGTGTCTCCTTCGGCTGCGGCGGAGCCTGCTGCACCACAATCCTTCCCAGCACCCAGAGGGACCAAAGGGGCCCTACTCTGCCCCGTTCCTTGATGGCACATTTTTAGCTCATATGGGGAAGAAATATTCAAGTAATTCAGTGTTTCCTCCTTCAGGAATTGCATCCAGGCAAATAAGACCACACAGCCTCGATTCTCTTCCCAGAGGTTGTCTAAATGCTTGCAAAGAGCACTGAGCTAGAAAAAAAAAAAGAAAAAAACAGATTTAGTAAGTTCTGACTTACGTTGCAGCCTCTCTCTCGCTTGGTCCATCTTAGTGCAAATTTACATTTCAAGTTTTATAACGTGTGCACACATACACACATTTATGTGCATTTTTAACCCCACACTACTGTTAACCATGGGCAGTCTCATAACCACAAGAGCTATGTCACAAATATTTGCAAACCTGGGCTTGGGAGAGCCATTTGCCACTGAGGGTAAACACAGGCGGGGAGGTTGACGGGTAATCCGGTGGGAGCTCAAAATTCAGCACCAGGGGCGGCAGGAAGCAAACTGTGTATTCGAAGCCACTGCCGGGCACGCTGTCGCTGTCGCTGCCTGCGCAGGACGAGTGAGAAGTAACAGGGAGATGAAATCAACGCACTCACTGCATGCAACAGTGTCCAAGACATCTCATCTGAGACATTTCTGCTTTCCTCTGACCTAAATAAATGCCCAGCGCAGTAACATTTTCTGGTTACAGCCAAAAACAGTAACTGAGAGACACAGCCTCAAGGGAAAAAAATAAAGCACCTTAATTATTCCAAAGAAACACTATAATTGTGTTACTATCTTAATACTAAAGAGGTTATATGCTTGAGGATGAAACAGCCCATACAGGTTTAAAAGTCAACAATATCATGAGTAGAAGACAAGGTCAGCCATGGTTCTGTCTTCATTGAGGATACTACAGGTTGCTAAAGCAGCCACCTCTGAACAGGTACGAGAAAAATAGCTTATGAAAATGTAATTTTAGGATAACACAAAATATTTCAACTCACCACTCACAAAAATTTTGAAGTTCTGGGGCAACTCCAAACAAATTCTTGTTTCTCCTCCTTGGGCAGACTCCGCTCTCTTAAATTCATCTTCATCATAAATGCTAGCCAGAGCTAGCAGCTCATCCTCCTGAGCTTCCTTGTCTTCTGAAGACATCTAAATTTGCTGTGGAGTTAACACCATATACAAGATCAGACAGGTTAATACATCTTATTAAAATTATCCATCTAGAATATATATTTTATGCTATTAAAATAAGACTTAGAAAGCAAAGCAACTGATGTCAAAACAACATAAAATATAATTAGGCTTTTTTAATAGGCTGAATAAAACGTTAATAGCTTTGTAAACATGAAGCACCAGCAGAACACTGGAAAACAAAACGCCTACAAAACCCCATTTTTTTCTGCAACAATGGCTAAAGACACCTGCATGAAAATAACTATTAGGAATTCTAATGGCAAAAACCGCAGTGACATTTCATGAGCGTTTGAGAAGAAATGCAGGATGAAAGACCAGAGGAAGGAATTGGTGTCTCTCTCGGCCCATTTCTAGAAAGATGCATCTGTGACTAAGCTATTGGCAGTAGCGATGCCTTGACCTGCAGCTTGCTTCATTTCCCGAAACGTTTAAGCTACAGGTTCAACAAAACGGAGCAAAACCAAACCCGCGTTTACCTTTTCCTCGGCTCCGTCCCAGTGACGAGGCTGGTTTCCGTCCGCGCGCGGCCTCGTTATAGGGGCCGGTGCAGAGACCCGGTCCATTCCACTGCAAAAACCATGGCTTCCTGGTTATAAAAAAAAAAAAAAGACAGATTTTGTCGTCAAGGCGCAGGCGGCTACAAGCTGCAACCAAGCGGGAGCTCAGCAGGGTTAAAACCCGCGCAGAATCTGCCCTACGGGCAGCAACAACCCCTCGAAGGGGGCAGGCCAGGCCCGCAGCCCCAGCGACTCCGTTTCC